TTTTTTAAGAAAATTGCTTATTGGTACCATTGTGAATAATTATTTCTCGAAAAAATGCAAAAAAAAATATATTTTTTTACTAAATTAATAGGCAGTTTATAACAAATTAATAATTAATTATTGCAAAAAGGACCGTGCAGTTGTTATTATTTTCATGCGCCACCCCAGATTAAAAAAAAACGTTAAAATTGGTCCACAATTACCGGAGATATCGCAAAATTTTCGGGCAGTTAAGATTTGAAGGCTCGGGATGTTTGTCTTATTTCCCCCACCACATGTATTCGAGGACGTTTTTTAAAGGGTTAAAAGTTACTATAACATGCATTTTTCTCGATATCTTTAACCGTTATTATGAAGTTTAAGGGTTGATTGATTTATTCCCGAAAATTCAAGTCTTAATGTTTATAAATAAACAAGCACTCACACACAATTTAAAAAAAAGCTATCTCGGCTAAAAATGGTCTAAGAACAATTTTTTTAAATTCGTAAAAAATTACCAGGATTACGAATACCAAAACGGCTTTAAAAAATATTCATTCTTCGCAAAGTTATTAACGAAAAACCTTATAAACAAATTACACTATTTGTTTATACGCCGTTTTGAGGAGGTTAGCCTATGAAATTACAATTTCCAATTGCATATCTTGAAAATATAAGTCAAGACGAAACAAATGAGCCCTCATAAGGCCCTTTATTATAACGCTAACAACCGCGTTTTTACAATTGAAAAAATGCTGTTTCTAATAAACAAATGCAAAAACTCGTAAACAGATAAATATTTTTTTACGAAATTTTCTGGGTTTCTTAAGCATAACAAAATACAACTTTTACTGCAGTTTAAAGACGATTTATGCTCTTTCTTCTATTTATAGCAAATTCAAATTTTGCTGGTTTTTTGCAGTTATTTAAACAAATTATTAATGGATTTTAATTCAGCGGGTTTCAAATGAAGCGATTTTCGAAAATCTACAAGTATAAACGAAAGCAAAAAACTCCTGTTGGAGAGCGCTTCTTAATACAGCTGAAAAACTCAATTTTTGGTAATTTTTACATTATAATCATTGTTTAAACAATGATCTTTTTGTTTTAAACCGATACTTTTTGGGAAATATTATTTCTTTTTGCCTAAACTAACGATTAAACCAAGTTTCAATCTGACACGAATTACCTTTTGATTTACATGTATTACAAACTTCATTTAGTGGGCTATATTGTTTAATTAATAAAATCATAAATATTGCAGATAGGTGACAAAAAAGACTCACTTTGTCAACAGAAAATTTAACGAAAATGCTATTTGATGAGAGTTTTCGAAAAATAATATTTTGAAGCTCTTAAAATACTGTACAGAATGCGTTCCACAAGGACTTATTCTTGGTCCACTACAGTTTGTTCCTCACAAAGACAATGTTATAACTATAGTCTGTTTGGAAATGAAAGAGAGTAATAAAACCCCGAGATAAGAACCGGCCATGGGCGTGCTAATATTTCGTTTCAGGTAATTATCGGGTAACACTAATGCTAACAGGTAATGGGTGTACATTAGTATATTTTACTGGATACATCATAGGGCAGGAGCCAGTGTATTGTGACAGATCAATCCAGTCTTAGAGCTGAATATACGAAGACGTGCTAGTGCAGTAGAGTAAAATTCGACTTGTGTTTAGTGACTAAAGTACACTCATTTTATTTTAAAAAAGAAATACCAACGCTAAACAAAATTTTAAGTGAACTTTCAGAGGACAACGATTTGCCAAAAATCAGTAGAAGCAAATTATGGGCCGTCTTACGAGAGTTGAATTTTTGCTGGGAAAAGCAGAACAGGAAGTCAGTTCTTATCGATAAAGATGAAATTATTTGTTGGCGAAGATCCTACTTAAGATCAATTAGAAAATTCCGTGACGAAGGGAGGAATATTTATTATCTAGACGAAACTTGGGTCAACGAGGGATATACTGTAACAAAAGTATGGCAAGATAAAAATGTAAAAAGTTTTCGACAAGCATTTTTGGATGGACTTTCAACAGGGTTCAAGGCACCTTCAGGTAAAGGGCGAAGATTAATAGTGACACATATAGGTAGTGCCAGTGGTTTTGTAGATGGCGGTTTACTTTTATTTGAATCTAAAAATACAGGTGACTATCACGAAGACATGAACGCAGATGTTTTCGAAGAGTATTTTACACAGATGTTGGATCTTATTCCTCCGGGGTCTGTAATTGTCATGGATAATGCCAGTTACCATTCACGGCAGACCGAGCGGACGCCTACGACTGCTTGGAGGAAAGCCGATATAATTCAATGGTTATCCGGAAAAAACATTTCTTTTGAAACAAATATGGTGAAAAAGGAACTTTTGACACTTGTCAATCTTAATAAAGATCAGAAAAAATATGTTATCGATGAAATGGCAACAAATCGCCAAATAACGGTACTACGGTTACCACCTTATCACTGTGAACTTAACCCAATCGAATTAGTCTGGGCGCAGGTAAAAGGAGATGTAGCGCGAAATAATACGACGTTTAAATTAAGTGACGTGAAAATTTTGTTAAAAAATTCCTTGGAACGAGTAACTGCAGATAACTGGCAAAGATGTATACATCATGTACAAAAAGAAGAGGAGAAAATGTGGGAACTCGATAATTTAATTGACGTTACTGTGGAACCTATCGTTATCAATCTAGGAGACGAAGATAATTCATCAGAATATTCAGAGGATGAATTTTAATATACCTACTTTTTTATTTTCTTTATTGTACATTTATACAACACTACATTTACTCACCATAATTTGAATTTTCAAAATACATATATTTTTGTGTGGAATAAAAGTCTATTCATTAAATTTAAATAAATATTTTGATAATAATATTGAATAATTTTATTTGAATTACTAAAAACCCTCTTAACCCGGTTATGATGCTTAAAGTAGCCTCATGTTTTGAAATGCTGTTTTTATATTGTTTACTTATAAGAGAAATGGACCGAGAAATTGAAGCGGCATAGACAAAGACGGATTGTCGGGGATTAAATTTTAGCTACCTGCTACAATTTAGTACAGTCCGATCGCACAAAGTTTTGTTAAAAGTACACCGAAAATACATAATATAAAAATATTGAATATAAGCACCAGTACTACATTTATTTACGATTTGCATACATAATAAGCTTTTATTACTCTCTTTCATTTCTAAACAGACTAGAATGTCAATGGAACGTCGTTAATCTTAATTTTTCTGTAGTATGTACCAGAAAACGTAACAGTGGAAGACTTCAAGGGAATGTCGATAACCTTGGCCGAACTCAACGCCTGGACCAAAGCTCAGTTTGGTGACACAATTCAGATGGATTGGGTCGAATACCTACGCCGAGTTTTCAAAAATTCTGGAACCAGTATCGACGAAACAACCGAAGTTGTTACCTCTACCAACACCTCAAGATTATTCTACGGCGTCCTGAACTGGGTTAGCATGAACAAACCTGAAACAATAAAAAATTTCGTGTTGATGCGCACCTTCCTCTATATGGCGCCCGACAGCGACGCGGAAACCAGAGCGGCATTCGAACAATACTACAGGCAGATCAACCTCTCTGTACTACCAAGGTGAATTGTAAAAGTCCAACAAATCCCTAATGTAACGCCCATGAGTAATATGTGGTCTTCCAGGGCCAAATTCTGTACAAGGAAAGTCATAGACGCTGTGGGCACGGCCTCCTTGAGCTTCGCCGTGGCTTACGAATACCAGCTGCGTTACTTCAACGTGAACAAGTTCGCAAAGGTACCACGACGTCTCTAGGTACACCCCAAGGATCTAACCCAGACCCCGTTTCTTTTCCAGGCCATACAAATGATCAAAGACATAAAGAACTCCTTCACGGAGATCATGAATCAGACGACTTGGATGGACGAGCAATCCAAAACTGTTGCCATTCAGAAAATTAATAACCTTGTGACAATTATGGGATATCCCGACTTTGTTTCTAACAAGACGTTGCTGGATAGGTTCTACGAGAACGTCAGGATCTGCAAGTGGGACAATTACGGGAACTCCAGGAGGATAAGAGCGTTTAAGCAGGCGTACCAGATCTCTCAGGTCGAGAAAAGGGACAGAACTTTGTAAGAAACGGTTTTAGGTATGTCTAATTGTTGCTGCTCTACTTTGTTCTATTTCAGCTGGGACAAGTCCCCTTTTGAAGTCAACGCTTACTACAATAGACCAAACAACAAAATAAGTAAGACAGAATGCTATTTTTGTTGAAGGTTCAGCTTCTAACAATTCTCTCTTACAGTTTTCCCTGTAGCGGTTCTGAACCCTATATTTTTTGGATCTAATCTGAGGTACGTAAAGTATTGCTTTCTCTTCTATTTCTTCAATTTTTTTTTACTTGGACTCCAAAGTGTTTTAGATTACGGAAGGATAGGCAGCGTGATTGGCCACGAAATCACCCACGGGTTCGATTACCAAGGCCAGATGTACAATCAGGATGGCCTATTGCAGCAGTGGTGGTCCAACGACACACGCGTAGCTTTCAAACAGAGAATGCAGTGTTTTGTAGACCAGTACAACCAGTATTACATACCCGAAATTGATGATTATGTGAGTTAGCCACATATGACGAACAATTTTGGGATATATACAATGGTTTTAGGTGAACGGGAGCACAACTCTAAACGAGAACATCGCCGACAACGGAGGTGCGAGGGAATCGTACAACGCTATGAAGAAATTCCTGGAAAGGACTGGACAAAACCAGAGAACCAAGAATTTCAGCGCAGATCAGCTGTTCTTCATAGGATTCGGTACGGTAAGTGATCGATTACTTAAATCCTGGTCAGCAGGGGGCCTTGAGCAGACCCCTGAGGTGCGCCGAACTTCAAACACGAGTTTTTCTGGATATTGTGCCTAGATATACTGCTAAAATACTATTTGGTTTTGCAGATGTGGTGCAACAACCCTTCTAAGGAGTACCTATTGGTCATGCAAGACGATGACCACGCTAGAGCCAAATGGAGAGTAAACGGAGTGCTGTCCAATATGGAACAGTTCTCTGAAGCCTTCAGCTGCAAAGCAGGCACTAACATGAACCCAGAACAAAGATGCAGGTTGTGGTAAGGGCCTACGAATCGTCGGCCGACAAATGTTTGAAAATAAATATATTTTTGATGTTATTATTTTTGTGTGTTAAGACAGGACAGTGGTGGTAAAATACAAACACATTTTTTATGTTTTTTTTTATTGGATTAAGATATAACCGAACAGGCAACCAACAAAACAAAAATGATCAGTCCAAATATTTTTCAAACGCGATTTTTGGAAACATTTAAAACATTTATTTAATAGAAACAGAACGTGCACAATTATAGAAAATGTTTTATTTGGTAAGTAAATCTTTTGCAATTATTCCAGCTGCAGATGTACAGGGTGTCACAAACTCAATAGTATGGGTCTACTGTGAGGATACAAAAAATTTAAATAAACTGTTTGTACCCTGTACAGTTACATTCTACAACAAGTTAATTTTTTTTTCTAAGGAAAAGTTAATATCTACGTCATTTGTAAATACGTTTGTCCACTGCAATTATTATTTTTCCTCTAGCTTGACCCTAAAAGGAAGAAAAGGAAGAAATGTGACCTTGTCTCTTCTTATCAAACAGGAACAAAGAGAAATTCGCTACATACACAAACAACTGCCTAGTAAACGATTGATTTTTAATGATCACTGTCATTTCACGATTGATGGCATTGCATAACAATAATTATTAATAGTCGACGTCTTCATTTTTTTCGCCTTGACTACCTTGACTGAAGTACTAAACACTAAAATATAATTTATCTTCCGTTACAATGTAAACAGGTGTCGAGTCATTAAATTTCGAAGTTATTACAATGACAATTGCTACAATATAGTCTAGCGAACTTGAAGTCGTTGAAGTCGTTACTCTGCTGGTAAATTGAAGCTAATGGATGTTTAATAGCATCAAAATCGCCCAAAAATCGGATTTTAATGAGCATTTCGGCTTATTAGAAAATGACACATACATTGTAAAGCTCTCGTAATGTTTGTTTGTTTCATTTTTTACGATAAAGTAAACAGCTTATTAAAGCGAATGATCTATGGGCCCCAAAGAGGATCCTTGGGGAATCCCAATGATTTTTTGACGAAGGTAAGCTTCTTCAAAGCTCTAGTAAAGGTTGAACTGGTAGAAAATCGCATACCCTTTATAACAAAACTTGTACTAGGTGCATTAGGTGTGTTTCTTTTAATATTAAACTCAGTATTCATCAAAAACCAGAACATTGCGCTTATTTAGAGAATGGATCACCGCAAATGGACTATAGAAACAATTTCCCTTACACACTATTGAATATTTGCAGCAGAACAAGTTCTTTTCTAACTTGGCGAGCTACTTGATAAAAAAAATAAGAGAGCCATAGCTATAAGTAAAGTGGTTTTGCTTAGGTCAAGTGCGTGATAGTTGGGCATCAACCTCGTTTGCATCGTAATCGAAGATGATGTCATTAGCGGAGAGAGGAACTCGGGAAAAAAAAACGATTATTTTTTTATTGCATAAATTGTTAGTTACAACTATTCAAGAATACGCTGCCAAAATTTCGAAATGAAATACCTATTAGTCTAGTCACTTATTAAGCAAGAAAAGAACAGATACAAGCTCAGAATGATGCCTATACGGTGCTCGAATGCCGATTGATCGTAGAGCACTTCTACATTGTTGATAACTTTCTCAAATTTCTAGATTTCGGAAATTTTCAAACGCGTTTTTCCCGAAACGACATTTTTTTTATTTACGGGAACTCTATCTCAAAAAGTTATGAAGCGATCATTATGAAAATTGGAAGTGCGTTTCTATATGAAATTACAAAGAATATGAACCAACAATTTGGATATCATAATTTTAAGGGTGTTTTTTACCCGCAATTAGGTTCATATTCTTAGAAAACATGTTAATAATGCAGGAAAACAACCATTTTGCTTTCACATCAAAATTGCGACTTCCACATTTCCCGCAAACAACCAACTCAGACGACGACCTTCAGTGGACAACAGCTCATAACTTTGGCATTATCAACAAAAACGGCTTGAAAAAATTTGTAAATTTAACTCAAAATATTGATAAAATAATGTCAAAGTTTGATCAAATTCTAAACAATTTGTCCCACTCAAAATAATTCATGAGAAACGCCTGAAAATCAACCTCCTAGTAGTCCAATTAAATGGGCTTTTATTCGTAATTTTGGTCAACTTGCCTAAATTTTTGATGTAAGTTAGTTTGAGGTATATGATAACAATAAGTGACAGTAATTTTTTTTTCAACCCCCGGCCAGGGGTGAAAAAAGATGAAATAAAGGCGTTTTTCAAGATAACTCAAAAGGGGTAAGAGCTAGAAAAAAAAGTTTTTTATAAAATTTGTAGAGCATATGATTCTACATAAAAATAGTCTATTAACTTTTTCTTATACTATTAACATTAACAGAGCTAGGGTGACTAGAAGTTAAGGGATGATTTCAGAAATTTAAAAAATCACAAGCAGAAAAATTAATTAATTAATTAATTTATTTATTCTACAAAATATAAACAATCTTTTCAGAGAAATAGATATATTTTTTAATTTTTAATAAAACATAACAATTTCAATTTTTTAGTCGTTAATTTTTATGATTTACCACCAAAACAATTTTTTCTTATGCCATTCGATTGATTATTTAAAATAGAAAAGTTCCTTTCGAAATTTTGTTTTACGGCGAAGATAAAAAAATTACGTTCGTGTTGTGACATTTTTTTGAACTTTTTTTAATTAAAAATTGAAAAAAATATCTATTTCTCTAAAAAGAAAGATTACATATTTTAGAGTAGAGTAAAAAACAAATATAAAATTAATTAATTTTTCGGCTTGTTATGAATTTTTAAATTTCTGAAATCATCCCTTAATTTCTAGTCGCCCTAACTCTGTTAATCTTAATAGTACAAGAAAAAGTCAATGGACCATTTTTATGTAGAATTTTATTCTCTACAAGTTTAGTCAGAAACTTTTTTTTCTAGCTCTTACCCCTTTTGAGTTATCTTGAAAGAATTACTGTCACTTATTGTTATTATACAGGGTTACTCACAAAAGGTGACCAAAAAAGAAACCTCATATTTTTTGGTGAATTTTAAGAGAATTTTAAGTAAGTGAAATAATTTGAAATTGGGTACATGTATTTATCTAAACATTGTCCAAAATCTGAGGGCTTTTCCTAAAATTTACATGTTTCAGTGGCGGAGATACAGGGTATCGGTGGCATATTTTTCTAAATAAAATAGTACACCACTGCTTTAAGGTAACAACCATGATATTTTCAGATTCGTCTTTCAGTTTTCTACAAACTACGACACTTTTATGTTTTTCGAAAAAAGCCTGATTTTCGAGTAAAAGTTAAAAAAACAACTGAAAACACTTTTACTTAAGTGATATGACAAGCATTCGGTTATTTATTCGAATAAAGAAATTAATAACATTAGTCATCATTTTAATGATTTTATTTGAGTAAATGCTCAAAAATACCTCAATTTCCATGAACACAGGCCCGACATCTTTTTAGTAACGAAAATGTAATTTGTTCGAAATTTATAGTTGCATGAATCTTATAAAAAGCATTATTTATTCTTTCTTCTAACTGCTCAGAATGTCAAAGTTGGTATCGCAGCCCACTATGTAATTTTAAAAAACATTATATTCGAATATCGAAGTGTGTTCTCAGTTCGTTTTTTAAGTTTTACTCGAAAATCAGGCTTTTTTCGAAAAACATAAGAGAGTAGTAATTTTTAGAAAATTGAAAGGCGAATCCGAAAATATCATGGTTGTTACCGTAAAGCAGTGGCGTACTATTTTATTTAGAAAAATATGCCACCGATCCTTCGCCACTGGAGCATGTAAATTTTAGGAAAAGCCCTCAGATTTTACAATCTTTACATAAATACATGTGCCTAATTTCAAATTATTTCACTTACTAGTTTTTAAATTAAAAAAATTATAAATATTTTTTGAAGTTTAACACCCTGTATCTTTTTAAGGAAGCGTCCTAGATAAAAACTTTATATGAAAGACTCCCCTTAAAACTCACCAAAAAAATACGAGGTTTCGTTTTTGGTCACCATTCGTGAATCACCCTGTATACCTCAAACTAACTTATATAAACAATTCAGGCAAGTTGACCAAAATTGCGATTTAAAGACCCATTTAATTGTACCATAATGTGGTTTGCCCCCTTAAGTTTCCAATTTAAAAAAATGGTGATTCATGGAGTCACTTCACCCTCATTCTTGTCGCTGTTATTCAAGAACGCCCTGTATACACGCAACGTAGGCCCCGCGATAGAAACGAATACGATTTCCCGAGGATTACGGTAAGTTCAAGGCGTCGCCGTCGTAAACAGTGTCTTCAATAACGTAATGGTTACGTAGCTCGAATTTGGTGCACAATCCTCCTACCTTTTCCTCCGAGGTCGTTCTGCTATATATGCCACTCGATGGCGACGGCGGCGATAAGTTTTTTGCAACACACTCCAGTCGTATGTGCGGTGAAAGTGGAGTGGGTGCAGCTAAGTGAACAGGAAAAGCGAAGGCAACCAGTTACCCCAATGGTGAAGGAATACGAAGACGAAGGTAGGTTTTCCAACGGCAAAGCGAACCGTTTGGGAACAGAGATTTTTTAAAAGTAGTTGCGGTGAGTTGAGGATTTCCACTTGTATCGGTTTTGGAAAAAACACTTTTCGTGGAACGACGATGGCTTTTGTTTTGTTGCGAAATTGCGAAAGTTCGCTAAAAGTTTGATAGAATGGGTATAGAATCGACAGAAGCCAAAAGCAAAAGCGAAATATAACAAAGTAACTGAGTTTTCGTCCCCTTCGAATATAATAGAATGCCGGTTGGGCTATTTCGCGTCCCCTAAAAAATAGTTATTTCCGAAATTTGATGAATAAAATGAAAAATAGTTATTTGTTTGCAGTAAATTTATATTGTTACTGTTATTAATGATTAGTAGTTCCTAAATATTCAATTTTATACTACAGGGTGATTCACAAATGGTGACCAAAAATGAAACCTCGTATTCTTCGGTGAATTTTAAGGAGTCTTTCCTATAAAGTTTTTATCTAGGACGCTTCGTTAAAAAGATACAGGGTGTTCAAGTTCAAAAAATATTTATAATTTTTTTAAATAATTTAAAAAGTAGTAAGTGAAATAATTTGAAATTATGTATGTGTGCTTATGTAAACATTGTCCAAGGTCTGAGGGCTTTTCCTAAAATTTACATGCTCCAGTGGCGCAGGGTATCGGTGGCATATTTTTCTAAATAAAATAGTACGCCACTGCTTCACGGTAACAACCAAGATATTTTCGGGTTCGTCTTTCAATTTTCTACAAATTACTACCCTCTTATGTTTTTCGAAAAAACCTGATTTTCAAGTAAAACTTAAAAAACGAACTGAGAACACACTTCGATATTCGAATATATAATGCTTTTTAAAATTACATAGTGGACTGCGATAGCAACATTGACATTCTGAGCAGTTAGAAGAAGTAATAAATAATGCTTTTCATCAGATTCAAAAAACAATAATTTTCGAACAAATTGCATTTTCGTTACTAAAAAAATGTCGCGTTTGTTTTCGTATTTTTGAGCATTTAATCCAATAAAATCATTAAACTGATGACTAATGTAATTAATTTCTTTATTCAAATAAACAACCGAATGATTTGTGCTTGTCATTATTTTCAGTTAGTTTTTTAAGTTTTACTCGAAAATCAGGTTTTTTTCGAAAAACATAAGAGTAGTAATTTGTAGAAAATTGAAAGACGAATCCGAAAATATCATGACTGATACCGTAAAGTAGTAGCGTACTATTTTATTTAGAAAAATATGCCTCTGGAGCATGTAAATTTTAGGAAAACCCTCAGATTTTGGACAATGTACATGTGCCTAATTTCAAATTATTTCACTTATTAGTTTTTAAATTATTTAAAAAAATTAAAAATATTCTTTTAAGTTTAACACCCTGTATCTTTTTAACAAAGCGTCCTAGATAAAAACTTTATAGGAAAGACCCTTTAAAATTCACCAATGAATACGACGTTTCATTTTCGATCACCATTTGTAAATCACCCTGTATAATAATCCTTTCAGCCATCGAATTAAATCCTTTTTTTATGTTATCGGCTCAAAAATAAATAACAGCAGATAGTTTTTCTCTAAATTTGGTGCACAACTATTTTGGAAGACCTAGAATAATCCTATTATGTTATTTTTTTTAACAAAATAGCCTTTAACGTGTTTTTCTAAAAAATATACCGATACAAAAGCTATAACAAGACGAGGCATTCGTGGCAATTGAAAACCAATAGTTGCCAAATGATTCTGAGTCCTACCCTTAAAAAAATAGTTCCCCTTCAAATTTTTTTGTGGTTAAATTGAAACGAAATAAAAAATTTTTGAAAAAGCAAACTCAATTTTTAAAAAATTAAAACAGTAAAATAATATTTGCTTCTGGCGTAAAGTTTAAGGGTGTTAAATCAGAACATTTATNGGCATATTTTTCTAAATAAAATAGTACGCCACTGCTTCACGGTAACAACCAAGATATTTTCGGGTTCGTCTTTCAATTTTCTACAAATTACTACCCTCTTATGTTTTTCGAAAAAACCTGATTTTCAAGTAAAACTTAAAAAACGAACTGAGAACACACTTCGATATTCGAATATATAATGCTTTTTAAAATTACATAGTGGGCTGAGATAGCAACATTGACATTCTGAGCAGTTAGAAGAAATAATAAATAATGATTTTCATCAGATTCAAACAACAATACATTTCGAACAAATTACATTTTCGTTACTAAAAAGATGTCGCGTTTGTTTCCGTATTTTTGAGCATTTAATCCAATAAAATCATTAAAATGATGACTAATGTTATTAATTTCTTTATTCAAATAAATAACCGAATGATTAGTGTCATTTAATAGAAGTATTTTCAGTTGGTTTTTAAAGTTTTACTTGAAAATCAGTTTTTTTTTTCTAAAAACATAAAAGAGTAGTAATTTGTAGAAAATTGAAAGACGAATCCGAAAATATCATGGTTGTTACCGTAAAGCAGTAGCATACTATTTTATTTAGAAAAATAATCCACTGGAGCATGTAAATTTTAGGAAAACCCTCAGATTTTGGACAATGTACATGTGCCTAATTTCAAATTATCACTTATTAGTTTTTAAATTATTTAAAAAAATTAAAAATATTCTTTTAAGTTTAACACCCTGTATCTTTTTAACGAAGCGTCCTATATAAAAACTTTATAGGAAAGACTCCCCTTAAAATTCACCAAAGAATACGACGTTTCATTTTCGGTCACCATTTGTAAATCACTCTGTATAATCAGCCATCGAATTAAATCCTTTTTTTATGTTATCGGCTCAAAAATAAATAACAGCAGATAGTTTTTCTCTAACTTTGGAGCACAACTATTTTGGGAGACCTAGAATAATCCTATTATGTTATTTTTTTTAACAAAATAGCCTTTAACGTGTTTTTCTAAAAAATATACCGATACAAAAGCTATAACAAGACGAGGCATTCGTGGCAATTGAAAACCAATAGTTGCCAAATGATTCTGAGTCCTACCCTTAAAAAANAACAACCAAGATATTTTCGGGTTCGTCTTTCAATTTTCTACAAATTACTACCGTCTTATGTTTTTCGAAAAAGCCTGATTTTCCAGTAAAACTTAAAAAACGAACTGAGAACACACTTCGATATTCGAATATATAATGCTTTTTAAAATTACATAGTGGACTGCGATAGCAACATTGACATTCTGAGCAGTTAGAAGAAGTAATAAATAATGCTTTTCATCAGATTCAAAAAACAATAATTTTCGAACAAATTGCATTTTCGTTACTAAAAAAATGTCGCGTTTGTTTTCGTATTTTTGAGCATTTAATCCAATAAAATCATTAAACTGATGACTAATGTAATTAATTTCTTTATTCAAATAAACAACCGAATGATTTGTGCTTGTCATTATTTTCAGTTAGTTTTTTAAGTTTTACTCGAAAATCAGGTTTTTTTCGAAAAACATAAGAGTAGTAATTTGTAGAAAATTGAAAGACGAATCCGAAAATATCATGACTGATACCGTAAAGTAGTAGCGTACTATTTTATTTAGAAAAATATGCCTCTGGAGCATGTAAATTTTAGGAAAACCCTCAGATTTTGGACAATGTACATGTGCCTAATTTCAAATTATTTCACTTATTAGTTTTTAAATTATTTAAAAAAATTAAAAATATTCTTTTAAGTTTAACACCCTGTATCTTTTTAACAAAGCGTCCTAGATAAAAACTTTATAGGAAAGACCCTTTAAAATTCACCAATGAATACGACGTTTCATTTTCGATCACCATTTGTAAATCACCCTGTATAATAATCCTTTCAGCCATCGAATTAAATCCTTTTTTTATGTTATCGGCTCAAAAATAAATAACAGCAGATAGTTTTTCTCTAAATTTGGTGCACAACTATTTTGGAAGACCTAGAATAATCCTATTATGTTATTTTTTTAACAAAATAGCCTTTAACGTGTTTTTCTAAAAAATATACCGATACAAAAGCTATAACAAGACGAGGCATTCGTGGCAATTGAAAACCAATAGTTGCCAAATGATTCTGGGTCCTACCCTTAAAAAAAAGCTCCCCTTGAAATTTTTTTGTAGTTAAATTGAAACGAAATAAAAAATTTTTGAAAAAGCAAACTCAATTTTTAAAAAATTAAAACAGTAAAATAATATTTGCTTCTGGCGTAAAGTTTAAGGGTGTTAAATCAGGACATTTATATGGCCACAGCAGACATTAAAAGCCTGTACATCCCCTAATATACAGGGTGGTTCACTGAAGGATGCTATTGTGAAAATCTCGAAAACAAAATTGCTTGGTGGGCATATTTAAATAAGCCGCATACATTTTACTAAAGTAGTTGCTTAATTTGAGTTGATCTTCCTAAAACATTATTTATTTTAAAAATTATAAAAATAAATCATTCTTTTGCAGTAAACTAGTATTTATGTACATAAAATCCAGTACACATCGTTTTATCTCAATCCGTATAAGCCAGTGTAAATTTTACGTGTAAATTGTTGCAAAAATAAAACTAGTTATTTGCTGTCTGTGTTGAATTTGTTAAAAGAAAGTTCTGTGTTTGTTTTTGTGGTATTCACTCTAACGAAGGTGTATTCGCAGTAAACAAACCGCGCTGTGTATTTTTTATCGTCCGTTTAATTTGCGAAAAATAACTGGTTGGGTCTAGAAAACTACAATTACTGTCACGCTTGATAGAATGTGATATTTGTTGATTTATAAACCAGGAAATACCGCTCGAACCGCGCCCTTTCTAGACAATGACTCAATCTCGGTGGACAAAGCGTTTTTCGCGTGACTGATTTTTGGAAAATTTAAAGAATAGAGATACACTTAATAGGACTGACCAGGAGAAAAATATGGAAAATTAGGATAAGTTGAACTTTTACGATCCAAGGTATAGCTACTTTGCGTGTCAATATAAATATTATCGTGTATTTAATAAACGTAAGCTGTAGAAATTATATTAATTAACAAAA